GATAGCCAAGCAGCCATTAAAGCATTAGCATCTAAAACAATCTCATCAAAATTAGTCAGTGAATGCATCCAAAATCTCCAAAACCTGGGAAAACACAACAACCTGATGATATCTTGGGTGCCAGGGCACAGGGGAATTTTGGGTCACGAGAAAGCAGACAGACGGGCCAGAGGAGGATTTGCAAGACCATACATAGGCCCCAAACCTATACTTGGAATAGCAATAACAAATATAGAATCCTCCATCGCAGAATGGATAAACTCTAGCGGTGCTAGACATAGTAACTCTATGATGGAACAACCCTCACCAAGACTAAGTGACAGCGGTTTTTTTTATAATCAGTTTTCCCCGCTAAACGCAGTAACAGGCTAAACAATACAAAATCATTACAATATGAAGGTTGTAGAAGGTTATAAAGCCCAGTGTCTTTCGCATTTCTAACGCAAATGTAAAGAGTCAGGTTGCAATCTGTACATATGTAAATATTTGGTCAAATATACTAGTTTTTCTTCTTCTTCTCCTCACCAAGACTGCCAAAAGCATTGCTGCAATTGGAGAGGGCCAAATTCAAAGGAGTGGTAGGACTACTAACCAGTCACTGGCATCTGAGAAAACATCTACACAACATGGGTATATACAGGGATGATCCCATTTGCAGATTATGTAATGAGGAGGAGGAAACAGCCACTCTTATCATCTTCGGATGCGAAGCAACAGCTCATTGGAGGTTTAACCTAACGCATGGAAAAACTTAGGGAATCAAATTGCAGCAGCGACAGTCAATGACCTGATGCTTCTAAGGAGAATGATTGAGTCTATTGACTGATCTAAGGAACTAGGAAGGTACAATAAGCCAGAACGCTGCAGTGCCTGGGAAGCGCAAACCCAGCGTCCTCGTATCTTTTTTACCATACCATACTCGAGACTATTCGATATTCATCTGGGTAATTCACGCTGACAAATAGCATGCACACGAAACACTTAAAAATTCATCTTGGTTGATTAAGAAGTAGAAAATAACCAATTGAAGTCATCAAACAACAAAAAGTCCGGTTTTGCTACCCTTTTGGAATATTCATCACCAATCGGAGACTGCGATGTGTGATGACCTCAACTGGGTATTTTCTACTCCTAAATATTCAGATGTTTAGTCAACATAAGTTGTGGATGTTCTCGGGGTAAAGACGAAATAAAATCTTTATGAAAACATTAACAATATTTATTGTAATTCTACAATATAACCAGTGTAACTACCCACCTTCTTTTACGTATTAAATATTTCTTTTTTTTTTCACTCACTAATTACATGATACAAACACTAACTAGGGCCAAACAGTAGGCCGACTCATAACAAATTTTATATAAGTTCACAATTATCTGAATAGTACAAAACAACAGTAAAAAGTTTACTTTTTATAAAATAAATATATATGTATTTATATATATTTATTTTTTTAAACTACGAATTTGACACGCTTGTGTCTTTAAAGGTATAATTTTTTTTCTAAATAAATACATACACTTTTTTTCGTTTCTTTCTGCGCTAGGCACTCTAAACAATGCTCGGTGTTCTACTATATGCGTTAATTATTTTCTGTCTAATGCAATATTAAGTTAGCAACATTATAACATATAACCCACCACTAACGCTAGTTTTTTTCCCAAGTACATTTTTATTTTATGTGTAACAACTACTGAACTATCCAAAAAAATATATGATTCACAGGCAAATTAGTGACGCATGTGGGAAGCTTTGTACACAGAAAAGAATCTGAATTCATCAAAGCCTTGAACGACATATTTACCTGGTTGGTATTTTCTTTCTTTTTTTTTTAATATTTATTTTAGACTATTGGTTCCCATTCAGTATCAACCATCGCTGATTAGTAGTGATTGGAAATCTAAACTACACTACTATATCTCTAACAGCAACACATATCACGGCGTTTACTATAATTATCTAACAAACAATTAAAAATCAATAGAATACATGAAATAATTTAATATTGACAATACACAATAATGCTATTATTCTAACAATTAAAATCATTGCGATTCATTCATATAAAATTATACATTTTATGAGTAATCAATTTTCCATATAAAAACTATACATATTTTAATTTTGCCCTGTTTTAAAATAATACAAAATCGTTATTATACATAGTAGTGTATATATTTTGCATTATTACTATAATTTATAATATATTTATATATCTATATATATATTTATATTTATATTACAAATATATTCTGCTATCGATTTTTTTTCTTAAAATTCAATTTACCTCAATAATAATTTTTTGTTTTGATAAAAACTTTGACAACAGGTTTTTTTTTCTAAACAACGATCATTAATTTTTATGTAGTATCTATAGTTATTTTTAAAAAATGATTACGTCGAAATCCTTAGCACCAATGTTTATTTAGTTACGTTTGGCATATACCTATCTGTAAAGTCACAGTTATTCTAATAAATCCTGGCACAATTCAGCAATTATTGTTTTCCCGTTCGAATTGTACACATGAACATTTCATTATAATATTTTTATTTATTATGTAAGCTTAAATTTACGAGAATATTTTATGTACGTGTGTGTAGAGCTTAATTATTAATTTACCCTAAAAATCATTGAGTATATCATTGATTTTCTGTTTGATTTTTGTGTTATAAATATCTATTTTGTATAAAAAAGTTTTTTTTTAGAATAATCGGTCGGACAGTTTGGAAAAAAGGGTTTTATAAATTTTTATTGGGATTTTTTTCACTCAAAAGAAAAATCGAATAAGGACGGACAGCGGCCGATAAATAATTACAAAAGATGGGCCTAGCTTTGTAAGTACAATATTTAAAAAAAAATAAAAACATTTTTTGGTTTGGCATTTTCATTCAAAATTGTTTTTTTGTTTAACTATCTTTATAAACTGCAGTGAGCCGTTTAAAAATGGATCAAATCGAAGCACCTGACTTTCTCATTAAATTTTTCGTTGATTATTTAATAATCACAAGAAAAATAAGTGCACTTCTTAATAATCACCTTTCTTTTTTATTAAATACGTTCTTGTTTAAATATCCAAATTTATATAGAAAGTGTTATAAATATACTGTTTTACTATGGAATTAATTATGTCATCGATAAAAATAATAAACTGATAATAATCGGTGAATCTAATAATCAATGTAACTGGACCGTGAATTTTTCGTAATTGTAATTTATAATTTTAATATGTTGAAAATTATTTTATAATAATAATAATAATCGAATTTGAAAATGGTTCTTGGGCACAGTGGAGAGTTTCTGGGTCCTGTTCCGCTTTTTGGAGGACGTGAGTGTTTTTCTATCATATATAGATATGCTTTATTGTTGTTTTATTTTTATTTTTTGAGTGAGTGTATTTATTAGCGTGAGTAGTGAGGGATGATGGTGAAATATAGCGTTGCCAAGGCTTCTCCAGAAGTGTGTGCGTTTAGGGTCAATGGAGGAATATCGATCCAAAATGATGCAATGAATTAGTTTATAAGTATGAATGTATTTATATGCGCGACTGTATTACAGTTAGTTAATTGTAGGCTAGATTATAGAGTGCATGCGTTGGGAGCTGAAATGATCTAGCTGTACGAAGCTCACGTTGGAGCCTAACAAGATTGGTTGGGAAAATTTGGCTTCAAGGGGATCCCAGGGATCCAATCACAAATGGGGTAGATGATCTTCGATGACGTATAAACCCTCAGGTCAGCACATTGTAAAGTGAAAACCCTTCGGATTGAAAGCCCAATGCAAAAAAATGAAAGAACGAGAAAAAAAATAAAGTCGATAGTTTAAGAAATTTACCTGTAGTGCCTTGCAATTATGAATTGATTTACGAGTTGGATAGATTCTGATTTTAGCTTAGTAATCAGTCATCGGTATACATGCAACTGCGGCCTAGGTGGAGCATACGAATTTATTTAAAATATGCAACACTTTTTCTCTGATTGTAATGTTACAAAGGAGCATAGGGCATAAGGCCACCCAATGGGTTTTATTTAGCCAATGTAGGTCACACCTCATTTTAAAAACCAACCGCACTAGATGATTAGAATCAGACAATAAATGGCAGTAGACTGTATAATCAAGATCCCTAAAAAACAAAAGACGAGTTGATGTCAGAGCCCACAGACTTATCCAGATGACATAAGCTAAACTTTCAAGAAAATAATCAAAATTAGTTTTTCATTCAGAGATATTGTTAAGTTATTTGTGTTAGAAAATAGATTATGCGAGTAGGAGAACCGGAACATGTATTTTATGATCTCAAGTGCATAAAATTTTGGAAGACTGAAATTAGAGTGATAAAGAATTTTCGAAAATTATTTTAAATGGACCCAAAACGAATGAAAAAAAACCAGTTCGCGTAATGATAATTACATATATATTTAAAATGTAATCAAACTTTAGAACTCACCGTATATGGATTATTAAATTTAAATAACATTACTGGCTTACGTGTTCGTGCCTACAATTTAAAATAATGGGTGATTTACATTCTGTCAACCGCTACCCTCCTTTTTCTCAAAACTGTACTTTTACAATTTTAAATTCTTTCACACTGATCAACATTTAAAAAAAAACTCTTGTAAATAAAACGTTATTGATAACTATCACATCATTGTTAAAGTATTTTTTTTAAACATCTTAAAATCAAAAGGTACGTAACGTGTAATGTATAATTTTTCAAAACAAAAAACTATTCTTTAACTAAGTGATTTTTTGTACAAATTCATTGAAACAGCAATTCAATTTATCCACTTGATAGCAAATTTTTAGACTTTATTGACGATTACTATTGTCATGAGAATGGTCGTCTTTTTTATTTTTTTATTTTTATTTTTATAAACTGGTTTGTTTAATTAAATCTTGTTTTATGTTTTATTAAAATTACTAATATGTACAACGTTCAAAATTTCTTATTAATTTATTTTCAATTATAACATTTATTTTTAAAACATATTTTTTAAACATACCATGCTTTATCACAGATATAAGAACAATATTTTTTTTTTTAATGTGATGTCAATTTAATTGAACAAAACACACGAATTACGACACTTTCATATAAAGGGAAAATTGTGAACATTTTAAATCAATTTGAACCTCGTGCCTCGTAAAAATTGTAATGCAGATATCTACAAAAACTGTCGTAAAATGCTAGGTCGTGCTATTAAAATTATAAATAAATATTGAGCAAGTACATGTATCATTTGGTATGATTCGTTCAATTGTACCTCCTTATACAGTTTATATTGACATCGTTACTTTTTTTTACAAGTTTTCTTCTTTCGGGCACAAAGATATATCAAACTAGCTTTATTATATCCAATCAAGCTTACGCGAATTGGCTCCACGTAGTATTTTTCTTCACGACTTGCAGATTCTGCAGAATCATCTTTTTGCAAAGTTACAACTTTTATGGTGACATTGAGAACAACCAACCCTGTAAATGATTAAAAAACAAATTATGATCTGAGCAAATGTTAAGAATTCTATATAGACAACTGTATTTATATTCTTTCAATTAATTAATCTTTTTATGTAAGGTTTTTGGTTCAAATGAAAAATCTAGTGCCACGAGCGGGATTCGAACCCACGGCCTTCGACTAAATACGCCGCTGCTCTACCACTTGAGCTACCGTGACATCGATCCACTCGGACACCAACTCTCCATCTGAACCTACAACCTTTCCAGTTTTCTGTCATCTTTGCCATTTTTCAAATGTAGTGTAACCAGGATTCGATTCTCGGCGATTCTTTTTCATTTCAACCACAAACCTTACATAAAAATGCACTGATTTTCGTGGTCCGCTTGTTTGTAGTTGAGATAAAAAAGTCAGTGCCACGAGCGGGATTCGAACCCACGATCTTCGGCTAGATACGCCGCTGCTCTACCACTTGAGCTATCGTGACCTCGATCCACTCGGACACTAACTTCCCATCTCAACCC